TAACGCCAGGAGCTTTCAAGCACTAGCACACACCATCCAACTTTTTGAAATGGCTGCAGACATGGAGGTCAACTGGGGGACGAAAACGGAAGGTTGGTGGCTGAACTACCCATAGGACGACCCTCCGGCCGTCCCCCCGGTCACATGGCGAAGCAAGGAGGCGGCAAGCAGGGTACTGGGAGTGAATTTGATGGCGCTGGGCCCCCCCCGCGGACCATGGGGATGCGCTGGTGGACCTAGCGATTCAACGTACGACCTGCTGGGACGAAAAGCCAACCTCGCTGGTGGGGAGGGCGCTGGCATTAAACAATGTAATATTTGCATCGATCTGGTACAAAGTCGCCTAACCAGACTAAACCAGGCGGCAGCTGCCTACCTATGGAAGAATGATCACTCATACACACGGTGCCTGAAACGCTTATCATGGGATGCTCTTACTCAACCCAGATCAAATGGGGGGTTGGGAATCATAGACCCGGCCCGAGAGATAAACGCTCTACTGTTTAAACTAATTATTAGAGTGTTACTAGCCGATGACATACCATGGGCTCCGTATGCACACATTCAGATTGCGAACCTGGCTCCCCCCTCTCCTCAAGACCACCCGAAGCATCCCCTGCAATGGCTGACTAACTCGGCATGGACCATCCCCGCCTGCCCACGGGTGGACTCAGACACAAGTGCGGGAGGCGAGGCTAGGTGGGACCTACGCACCGACCCATTGTGGCCTACAATCATACGCTTATGGAGAGACCATGGTCCGAAGAGAAAACTGATCCCGCTGAGATGGCACGAAATTTTACGGCAACCGCTATTCGGACACCCCCAACTCCTAGATCCGGAGGGAGCACCGTTTACCCTTCGACGCAGGTCCAAATGGCTGAGATGGGTAAAACACAGACTCTTTACAATCCAGGACCTGTGGGATATCAATGCGGCTGCCTGGCAAACTGAAGACAGAATAAGAGAAAAGCTGGGGCGGGTTCCCAACTTGAGAGCATAGAGCATAGAGAGTCGAAAAGACGTGCGCCGACTCGAAGCTCGACAAAGGCTGACGAACCCGGTGTAACCAACCATGACCAAAAGAAGCATCGACGAGAAAAAGGAAAAAAGAAAAAGGAAAAAGAAAAAAGAAAAAAGAAAAAAAAAAAAGAAAAAGAAAAAGAAAAAGAAGAAGAAGAGGAGAAAGAAAAAAGAATAGGAGATGAAGAGAGGGAAAGAAAAAAGAAAAAGAAAAAGAAAAAGAAAAAGAAGAGGAGAAAGAAAAAAGAATAGGAGATGAAGAGAGGGAGAAAAAAACGAGGTGAAGAGATGAGGTATGAGAGACGCTGGTACAAGTGGATAGCGCAAAAACAATCGTGCTTCCTTGAAATGTGAACATTAGTTGGAAGCAGA